TTTTTAAATCAACACAATTAGTACCCTTCTAAAAATACATTTCTGTGTAGATTTTACTTAAAGGCACACAAATTGTAAATGTACACTTTCCAAGGACTCCCAGGCTATGAAATCACCCAACTTTAGCGGTAATTTTCTCGCTAATTGTACCTCAGAAATCAAGGGATCTCCACCTCCTTTAGTCGCAAATATCTCAACTTCAGTTCAAGATAGATGTGTATTTTTTTCATTGAAAGCAAGGTAAACGAACTTTGAGATGATACCAGTAACTCCACATACCCAAAAATTGACGAGCGCCTGATTCCACCGCATCGTGACAAATATTTCTGAAGTTGTGTTGCTGGCAAATTTCCATGACTATCCTCGAGCAACCATTGTTGAAGGACTGTAATTTGTTTCATAGATTAACCCTAGGGTTAGGGTTAGGGTTAGGGTTAGGGTTAGGGTTAGGGTTAGGGTTAGGGTTAGGGTTTAGGGTTTAGGGTTAGGGTTAGGGTTAGGGTTAGGGTTAGATTTTCCTGAGGTTTATAAAAGAAACTACAACATTTCCTTGTGCTTGGCGTTAAAGTGTTGCTAGTGTTCTTGAAAGTATCGAAAGGGGATTTCTTATTCTCTGTGCATTGTTGTATACCTTCATTTGTTTAGGTTATTGCTTCCCTTACTCAAGTACATGAATTATTTCTATTTCTTGTGGATTAAACATGTTTATGGAATTGTTTGTTTTGGCACTTGTGGTTGAGAGGTTACAGTGTTCGCCTTTCATTCAATATGTCCCGAGTTCGAATCCAGATAGCGACGGAAAATTTTCTTCTCTAAAATTGTCTCCTTTAGCGTCCTTTCCCGCTCTCTAGTAACGTTCTGTCGTCTGCACTTCCGTCTCCACTTTTTGCCTCATCCCCTCACCTCCTTTTCCCGTTTCTTTGGGCTCCTACTCCTGACTCTTTCTGCAGTCTTTCTACTGCTACTCCTTGGCTCCTTCTTACTACTGTCTTTCAGCCACACCCCTGATCTTATGGCAGGCTAACACCTAGCCTACTCGTATAAGGGAGAGGAATCTCGGAGGTCCCGTGTACAGGTTGCACACGTTAAAGATCCCTTGGTGGTCCAAAATCGGCCACCACCCGGGCAAAAAATCAAATTTCCTACCAAATTGAAAATATTCAATGTATCCCGCACGCTTTTATGACCTTATTATTCAGTTGCGTGCGAGCACCGTAAAACACTTACCAGAAAAAAGAGGACATCTCAATTCTCACGACTGAGTGCTTTGCTTTCAAAATAAACCGTGTTTTGTCTCGTGAGTCATTACACATTAAACTTTTTAATTGGTCGCTTTTAAGGACAAGCGGGATAACCAAGGAGCTTCCTTGGGGCTAACCCAGATTTTGGGGGTTTCCAAATTGGTCGCTTTTAAAAGGACAAGAGGGCTAACCCAGATTTCGGAAGTTTCCAGAAATGTTGACCTACACCAGAAGTGGGCATTGCCCTACCTATAGGAGAAGTTTGGTTTCATTGGTGTGTATATTTGTTTGGTTAAAAAGAAAACCCTCCTTGTCTTTTAATGAAACTGTACAAGGGGCAAAAACTTTAACTTCGATTTTCTCAAAACAGCATTTTTAGGGATAGCCCCCTTGTGCTTAAAAGCGACCAATTATGCTGGTAAATCTTTTAAGTAAGAAAGAGGAGCGTCAGTGATTTAGTGCTATTTGTTTTTCTTTGATCTTTCCTTCCTTTTCTTCTTTTTTTTTCTTTTTTTTTCAAAACATACATCAGTTTTGTGATAGGGAGAGGGAGAAGGAGACAAAGACAAAGACACAAAGAAAGGGGAAAAGGGAGAGAGAGAGAGAGAGAGAGAGAGAGAGAGAGAGAGAGAGAGAGAGAGAGAGAGAGAGA